TAGAATATATATATTATTCTATTCTCTATTTATAAAACTAAGGTGAGTGTATAGTTTGCACACAGATCAATAAGATATAAAACTAAGGTGGGTGTATAGTTTGCGCACAGATCAATGAGATATAAAACTAGGGGGGGGGTATAGTTTATAGAGGGGGTGTTTTATGAGATATAAAAATAGGTTTGGAGGTTTTGGGTATAGTTTGCCCAAGGAAGATGTAGATATTAATAGAAGTAAGTAATCCCCATGAGAAAGTATAAGAAAATCTTAAGATCAAGTTACAAGTATCACAAACCGTTTTTTTTATGTTAATGTATTCCACTAAACGCAAGAACTGTTAATTTAAATAATCAAAGAATGGCCAAACAGAAATATTTTACAATAAGATAATTTGAAAACTCTAAAATGCTGTGTCAATCTTTCCGAAATGATTCAAAATCAACTTGAATTTTTAATCAGAATGTAGGTAAACGGTATTTTAAATGTGTAATCAAACTGTGCTTTAAAAGATAAGAATATACACATAATAATATAAAAACCGGGAGGTTGATTAAATATGTATTCTATATAGAGCGTGTTAATTGAAACCTTCAGACCCATATTTAGACATGTGATTAGTGTTTAATCTACGTCTAAATTAACCCAACCTAACACATTGTATAAATTTCAACTTATTCATAGACTCCATAGACCACCCAATGATATAAGTGAATTTTACACGGCTCAAATAACACATAAGGGTGTACATATATGTACATAATTTGCCATAACTGTAAATTGTGCCAGACATCTGTACATAATTAGCCATAACTGTAAATTGTGCAAGACATTAAAGGGACTGTAAAAGAAAAATGAAAGGGGGTATAGGCTGAAAGCTAATCACTTTAGCTCTCGATCCCGACCCATGAAATTTATATCTGATGTGCCTACCTCGAGAAATTGATTTACAACTTTGTCAAATTTATACGAAAATTAATATATATACAATTTTGTATAAAAGTAGAGGGTTTAAATAGATCAAATTCAGCAAATATGCAATCAATCTGAAAACTATGATATCCCAGAGAAAGCTAATTGTAACTTAGGTTTACTCCATTTCTAATTTTATATTTATTATTTCTATTTTTAATAGATATAATTGAACATATTATTTTTAAGTCTTCCTGTCCTATCCTGTCCTATCCTGTCCTATGTTATTGTATAAAGGCACTAATCAAGTTGGAATTTAATCTTATAGATTTTGAATAAACGTGATCTATTCTCGACACTGCCTGATTTATGCAGTCCTGTCAGACCTTTATACTATACAATATACATGCATATTCAGAATATATTCTTTAAAAACAACTTTTCAACCTAATTTATAATACAGTGTCTTGATAAGTTTTTGTAATAATTAACTTATATATAAAAAAATTGGATGTTTTTATCTCGTTTTCGATCTTTTTTGTTAACAGAGTTCAACACTTGTCCAGACAGAAAAAAAAACGTTAATATCTTCTACGTCATTGATTAAATAAGGTTTTAAGGGTACTGTTGTGTATCGGTCATGCCCCTCTGTAAATGAAAGTCACAATACAACGACATTAATGAAGCGCACTGTGCAATCTATAATTATTTGTTTTAATGTTTGCTTTCAAGATTTAAGCCCTGAAAAATGTTTGTAAATAAAGGAGGAATTCCAGAAAATCCTTCATTCTTTAACAGATTTAATCCGGCTTTAAAGGGAGTGTTCGTGAAAAATTAAAGGGGGTATAGGCTTACGGCGAAAAATGATCGATGGTGATCGCTACTAATCTTACTTATATCTGTTGCGTCTGAAATGAGAAAATTGTTAAAAACAACTAATACCGAAGAATGTAGGAGGGGAGGCAGACCAACCACAACAATTACTAGTCCGAGCCACATTCTCCCCTTTTCGTCCGAGCCACTTCGAAATCCTCGTCCTTTTAACAATATTTTTTTATGTGTCCAATCCTTGAAGAAGAGAGCATATTTTTAATCTGGCCACGCTAGGGCATAACACATGGTTAGATTCAAGGTTAAAATGCAAGGAAAGCTAATTGCAGTTGCGTATACTTTGTGCACATATTGAAACCAGTTCTCTCTGGGCGGATTTTATAAACAAGAATAGATGCATCAGTGTTCGTTTATTATCCGAGGAGGTTCAAAGCATTAAATTTTGATAATTTTGATAATTCACATAATAGTTTTCTATGACCAGAGTATATCAATGATTATTTATGTCAAAGATGGATCCAATGTCAGGCTTAGACATCCTTCTTGTGTTTACATTACCGCCCCGAGACAGTAAACTGCAGTACAAAAGATGCGTACACCTCTGAAATGATTTTCCTTGCATTATAACCTTGGTTAGATTGAAGTTTTGCAATAATTTTATGATGTATGGAATGTTCAAATCCATGAGAATGATGTCAAACTTTATTTAGGTTAAAACTTCAGCCTCCAAAATGGCTAACTTTCATAATTCAAAAATTATATTAAAGTATTAAAATGGCTCATAATTTTTTCCATTTCAACCCATATAACAAAAAATCATTGATTTCTGGTATATTTACAAATAAGGCAAATTTTTTGTTCTCGTACTTCCGCCTGTCACACAATTAAAATTTGTAAGAGAAAATTCAATATTTTTTTATTCCCTAAAGTGAACTGATTTCAACAAATATTCTTGTCATCAAGGATTGTACACTTAAAAAACGATAATTTCGAGGTAGTGTCCACACAAATTCAGAAAGCTTCAACATATGCGACTCTGATGCTAAAAAAATCAATTTAATTCCAAATAAATCATTCAGATATTACAACCTATAATCATAGATAATCCTTCGACGCATTCGTATATAGTTGATATTTCATAATATTTGTATTTTTTATATTTAAAACGCCGCTTAGTTGTAATTGCCAGGTGCACTGAATGATTCCACGTGGCAGAGACACCTAGCGGAAAAAATCGTTGTTTTAACGGTCCCTTGTAAANTGATTATATAAGATATATTAAAGCTTCATTTCTAGTAAAAAATATCACACCTAAAAAGCCCAGTTTTATGGCAAATTAACAAACTTTAAAACCTAGAAATTGAAACAAGAGTATTAAAGAGACATGCCCTTTTTATAATGGAGGGTCACTTAAAATTACGACTACATGATATCCTATATTTATATATTAAAGAGACATGCCCTTTTTATAATGGAGGGTCACTTAAAATTACGACTACATTCTCTTTAATACTTTCTCTTTTACTTACACAAAATCCATTTTCTGCCGTGTAATAATTACGCTGCAACGATCAAAGGATTTAAAATTAATTTTTCATCTTATCAAATTAAAAAAGAAAGTCTAAAAGTCGCCCGACAATTGAGAAGTTTGAAAAGTCTAAAAGTCGCCCGACAATTACGAAGTAGTTAAACTCTAAATGTTGCCCGACAATTGGGAGGTTGTATAAGTCTAAAAGTCGCCTGACATTTACTAAGTAGTTAAACTTTAAATGTTGCCCGACAATTGGGAAGTTGTAAAAGTCTAAAAGTTGCCCGACAATTACGAAGTAGTTAAACTATGTTGCCCGACAATTGGGAAGTTGTAAAAGTCTAAATGTCGCCCGAAAATTGGGAAGCAGTTAAACTCTAAATGTTGCCCGACAATTGGGAAGTTGTATAAGTCGAAAAGGCGCCCGACAATTGGGAAGTAATTAAACTTTAAAAGTTGCCCGACAATTGGGAAGTAGTTAAACTCTAAATGTTGCCCGACAATTGGGAAGTTGTAAAAGTCTAAAAGTCGCCCGACAATTGGGAAGCAGTTAAACTTTAAATGTTGCCCGACAATTGGGAAGTTGTATAAGTCGAAAAGGCGCCCGACAATTGGGAAAAATTAAACTTTAAAAGTTGCCCGACAATTGGGAAGTAGTTAAACTCTAAATGTTGCCCGACAATTTGAAACTTGTATAAGTCTAAAAGTCGCCCGACAATTAGGAAGTTGTATAAGTCTAAAAGTCGCCCGACAATTGGGAAGTAGTTAAACTCTAAATATTGCCCGACAATTGGGAAGTTGTAAAAGTCTAAAAGTTGCCCGACAATTGGGAACTTGTAAAAGTCTAAAAGTTGCCCGACAATTAGGATGTAGTTAAACTCTAAATGTTGCCCGACAATTGGGAAGTTGTAAAAGTCTAAAAGTTGCCCGACAATTGGGAAGTTGTAAAAGTCTAAAAGTTGCCCGACAATTAGGATGTAGTTAAACTCTAAATGTTGCCCGACAATTGGGAAGTTGTAAAAGTCTAAAAGTTGCCCGACAATTGGGAAGTAGTTAAACTCTAAATGTTGCCCGACAATTGGGAAGTTGTAAAAGTCTAAAAGTTGCCCGACAATTGGGAAGTTGTAAAAGTCTAAAAGTTGCCCGACAATTAGGATGTAGTTAAACTCTAAATGTTGCCCGACAATTGGGAAGTTGTAAAAGTCTAAAAGTTGCCCGACAATTGGGAAGTTGTAAAAGTCTAAAAGTTGCCCGACAATTAGGAAGTTGTAAAAGTCTAAAAGTTGCCCGACAATTATGAAGTAGTTAAACTCTAAATGTAGCCCGACAATTTGAAACTTGTATAAGTCTAAAAGTCGCCCGACAATTAGGAAGTTGTATAAGTCTAAAAGTCGCCCGACAATTGGGAAGTAGTTAAACTCTAAATATTGCCCGACAATTGGGAAGTTGTAAAAGTCTAAAAGTTGCCCGACAATTGGGAAGTTGTTAAACTCTAAAAGTTCCCCGACAATTGGAAAGTAGTTAAACTCTAAAAGTTGCCCGACAATTTGGAAGTTGTATCAACAATTCAAACTTTTTAATCAAAGGATGCACATTAAACAGATAAACAAACTTATTCTCACACATATATATGCTATTTCTGTTTTACAAAAACAAATCATATATAGAAATAAAGATTTATGATTTGATTATAGATGATATAAGATGGTTTTTTCTATCACCCCCCCTTTGTACTTGCCCAGCTTATATCTAAGTAAACGCATTCATACTCTTACTCTCGTCCGGTCAATCTATACATATCAGGTAGCAATGGGCAAACTTACATAAAGGGACTGTCCTTGCAATTTCAAGAATTCCACTGTAAAATTATCTGTAACCACAGTTGAAGTTAATTAATTTAAGTATTAAAAACATGAATATCTCAGTCATTTTTGATCATAAAACAATTAAATCTCACACGCCAATGTAGATCAGCTATCCAACCCTGTTCAAGTCACCCTCCCTGCTTGATCTATAACGGTACCCTTCAAATCATTAACAATCGAGGCCAGAAAACTACGTGTGTTTATCTCTAAAATTGTGTTTGAAATTCCATAAAACACCGAATATCCTAGGTCCAAGACGGGTTTCAAAAATTTAAATATTTAGTTGCTGCTACTGCTAGAAAGTAAAATAGATAAAAATGTTAAACAATGACAAGCATTTTTCATAATATTTAAGGATAAGTCTGACATCATTACTTCAAAGTTTAATTGGGTGCTGTTGTGAATTAGAAAAACTGCTCTCCAAAGTCATTCTTCATTTGTGTTAATTTTTGATTTAATGACACATTAGAACCACAGTGATGCTCTTAGCTTGGTATAAGTTCAGGCTTGAATTCATTAGGGAAAACTTATTTTCTCCAGGCAAAGCAGGGTTCCCTAGCAATTACATTATATTCTACCTTGGTTTAGCTTACATTTTCCATCCAACAATTGATTGAAAGATATCCTTTGCCTTCAGATGTGTCTAAAATTATAAAATAAAAAACTTTTTTGTCAAAAAATGTTTAATCAACTTTTCAACAGCCTTATTATTGTGGTGATGTGTATTTTTTATGAAACTGTATTTTACAAGAAAATAACAAAGCTTGTTGTTTATTTTAGGATGGTAAAGCATGCAAGCCAATATGAGCTTTACACTTATAAACTCTCTGACGAGTGTAAAGAGTATGTCAGGTAAATATTGGTAATATTTATCCTTGGCCCCCTAGTCTGATATAATCGGAGCGCTTGGCCCCCTAGTCTGATATAATCGGAGCGCTTGGCCCCCTAGTCTGATATAATCGGAGCGCTTGGCCCCCTAGTCTGATATAATCGGAGCGCTTGGCCCCCTAGTCTGATATAATCGGAGCGCTTGGCCCCCTAGTCTGATATAATCGGAGCGCTTGGCCCCCTAGNCCTAGTCTGATCTAGTTGCAATGCTTGGCCCCCTAGCCTGATCTAGTTGCAATGCTTGGCCCCCTATCCTGATCTAGTTGCAATGCTTGGCCCTCTAGTCTGATCTAGTTGCAATGCTTGGCCCCCTAGCCTTATCTAGTTGCAATGCTTGGCCTCTGAGCCTGATTTTTTTCAGATCTTGAAGATCTCGAATGTCTGTGTACGCCTCTGAACATACAAAAAAAAACTTTTTTGTTCAAAACGATTTGATAAGTTTTGAAACTTTGGAATACTTCTTTCTATACTATATAACGATAAAAATAGCCTTCCTTAATTTTATGAGAACTAAAGTATAAGAAACTAATTTACCTGCACGACCATTGACCAAGGTATCTAAAAATAAAAGACTACATCATTGATTTATTAAGACTTATTTATTTAGGAAACCTTATATTTGGGAGAAACCTGGAGCACGACTATATGATTACCATTACCATATCAATGGACTGTACTATCAGGTATAAGCTGTATTATTTAAATCTCGCCGCTAAATGTCAAATTTTAAATTGTTCAATTAATAAATATTTTAATAGACATAAAATATAAATAATTTCACTTCTTAAATTAAAAATGTTTAACAATGCAAAACAATGATGTTTTCCAAAATAGTAATGTTCATGGTTATAAAACTTGTAAATGTAATCGAGAAAAATACATAAATTTCTCTTTGAAACCATACACTGCCAGGCTACAGTTGATGCATAAAACGTGCTGGGTTGACTTTACACTAGGTAGTCCAGACTGGATGGTACGACTGAATGCATATACATTATACAATGCATCTTTACTGGCTTGGATCATGCAACTTTTAGAACGGGGCGTTCATGTTAAATGTTCAGCTTAAAATAAAATAGTAAATTGTATAATTGAGTTTTTTCATTCTTTGTATAATATCTTTTATATTTATAGACAATGTCTTCCTATATTTATAGCCAATGATATCCTATATTTATAGCCAATAATATCCTATATTTATAGCCAATAATATCCTATATTTATAGCCAATGATATCCTATATTTATAGCCGATGATATCCTATATTCAGCCGATGATATCATATGCTCATTGGATGATATATCCTTTATTTATTACCAATGATGATATCCTTTAAATATAGCCAATGATATCCTATATTTAGCCGATGATATCCTATATTTAGCCGATGATATCCTATATTTAGCCGATGATATCTTTATATTTAGCCAGTAATATCCTATAGTTATAGCCGATGTTATCCTATATTTAGTCAAAGATATCCTATATTTAGCCAATGATATCCTATTTTAAGCCAATGATATCCTATATTTGGCCAATAATATCCTATATTTATAGCCAATGATATATCTATTTTTGGCCATATGATATCGTATATTTAGCTAATGATATCCTATATTTAGCCAATGATATCTTATGTGTTGCAGTTAATATTCTATATTTGTATAGCCAATAATATCTATATATTAAGTAAATGATATCCTATATTCATAGCCAATGATATCCCATATTTAGCCAATGATATCCTTTAATTAGCCAATGATTTTCTATATCTAGCCGATGATATCCTATCTTTATCGGATGATATTCTATATGCATTACCGATGATATCCTATAATTAGCCAATGATATCCTATTTTTATAGCCGCGATGCCATCCTACATTTAGTCATTGATACCAAATATTTTGCCGATGATTTCCTTTATTTATAGCCAATGATATCCTTTATTTATAGCCGATGATATCCTATATTTAGCCGATGATATCTTTATATTTAGCCAGTGATATCCTATATTTATAGCCGATGTTATCCTATATTTAGTCAAAGATATCCTATATTTAGCCAATGATATCCTATTTTAAGCCAATGATATCCTATATTTGGCCAATGATATCCTATATTTATAGCCAATGATATATCTATTTTTGGCCAATGATATCGTATATTTAGCTAATGATATCCTATATTTAGCCAATGACATCTTATGTGTTCCAGTTGATATTCTATATTTGTATAGCCAATAATATCTATATATTAAGTAAATGATATCCTATATTCATAGCCAATAATATCCCATATTTAGCCAATGATATCCTTTAATTAGCCAATGATTTTCTATATCTAGCCGATGATATCCTATCTTTAGCGGATGATATTCTATATGTATTACCGATGATATCCTATATTTAGCCAATGATATCCTATTTTTGTAGCCGCGATGCCATCTTATATTTAGTCATTGATACCAAATATTTTGCCGATGATATCCTTTATTTAGCCAATGATATTCTATACGTATATTGTATAGCCGATGATATTCTATATGTATATTGTATAGCCGATGATATTCTATAATTATAGTCGATTATAACCTATATTCATAGTCTAACATGTCCTATTTTCATAGCTATTGATATCCTACATTCATAGCCGATGATTTACCTATATTTAAATGATGATATCCTATATTTAGCCAATGATATCCTATATTTAGCCAATGATATCCT